ACTCTTAGGTATCCTCAGATGCGATTCCTTGCCTTTTCTCGCAGTCTGGCCCGACCGATTGTAGCCCCACAAGTAGATTGCGCTCTTCGTCGGGAATTTGACGACTTGGAACTCGCACAGCAGCTCGTCAATGTCCATCGAGTCGAATCGAGAAAGGGATAAATTAGGGTTATACGTTTTGAATTTAGGGATTTATTTAAGGGGAAATGAGAAGAAGGAATACGAACCGAGTAAATTTCAGAAAACCCCGTGGACTTCGGGGTTTTGCCGAAATTTGATTTCCACACAACCCCCGAAGGATGAGGGGTTTTGTACACTCATAAACTTTTTGAAGGGCAAAATGGCCAGATTGGTATATTTTTTCGAGGTTTGGTGACATGTTGGTATATTTTCTTTTAGTTTTATCAGATTGGTATATTTTTTCAACTCCGGCATCATATAGGCCTTAAATTTGGCCAGAGTTACTGTTCCGGTCAAATTTAGTTACTGTTCCGGCCAAAAATCCCATCAGCCTTGACCGGAACAGTAACTCCGGTCAAATTTAAGGCCTATATGATGTCGGAGTTAAAAAAATATACCAATATTATAAAACTAAAAGAAAATATACCAACATGTCACCAAGCCTCGAAAAAATATGCCAATCTGATCATTTTGCCCTTTTTGAAGATTTTTGAAAAAAAATGTGTCAAGGCCCCAAAAAAAGAAAGCTCTTGTTGCCCAGCCCCTTAAAGTTTTTTTCATGTGTTTTAACCCCAAAAGATCCAAGAAATTGTGATCTAGCCCTTTTTCATTCTCTCCCAAAAATAACCCCAAAAAGTTTCAAATATACCCCTTCCCTTTTTCTTCTTCTTCTTCTTCTTCTTCTTCTTCTTCTTCTTCTTCTTCTTCTCTGTGTCTTTCTCCTCCTCCTCTCTCCTAGCTGTTCCTTCTTCTTCTCTGTGTCTTTCTCCTCCTCCTCTCTCCTAGCTGTTCCTTTCTCCTTTTCTTCTCCCCTCCTCTCCCCTAACCCTACCTTCCCCCAAAAACTATACCCCTTAACCCTTCACCCAAAAACTGACGCACGCGCTCTCTCCCCTCTCTCTTCACTCGCCCAGACTCTTGTAAACTCAAGAGAACCCAAAAAGCCATAGATTTGAACTCAACCCTCCGCAAGATCCCTCAAAAGTTTGTTTAAAAAGTAGAAAATGGACGAAAACGAATTTGGAGAAGAGTAAAGGAGACGACACCCACTTCAAAGTTGTTCATCATCGACGTCCCTCGACTCCGACGACAAAGGAGGCTCTTTGAGAATCATCCGCCTCCTCCTCTACATCGTTATCCTCCGTCGTCGGTTCTCCTTCTCTGATGTCCACCTCATCTGAGGATGATGACAATAACGAGGGAATGGTGGCCCTGTTGTGCATGAAGCGGACCAGATTTTTTCCATCAAGACTCTTACTTTTGTGACTTGACTTGCATGGTAGCGTTAGGCGAGAAGGCTATGTTCTCAATGCTAAGCTCTATAAAAAGCTTTTTTAAACTAAAATTTGATGTGTTCGAAAGACTGAATATACCCCATGATGATTTATCATTGATATATAAATCTGAGAAGCACACGAATCTGAATTTTTAGTTGATAATGAAGATGATTTAAAGTGCGTAGTGGAGCATAATCGAAATAGTGGTTGTATAGAGATTCATATGCAAGTTGTTGTTAATATAGAGGGTTCTATTTTTGGAAAAAATCAGAAAGTTCTAACTAAAATGTAAGTAATCAATAAACTCTTTTTTAAATTAGGATTTGTGTGATATAAGTTTTGTGATTTCAGGTTTCATAGCACAGACGAATCATAAATGTTAATTTTAATGGTTACTTGTTAACTCCTCTTGTCATGTGCTAAGTATCATAACTATCTATTAACTTTCACCAGAACATGTTAACTTTTAGCGTTTTTTGTTGACTATCATAGTTATATGTTAACTTTTTAACTGAATGTGTTAGCTTTCCTCTTAGTCTGTTACCTTTTCCTACTGAATGTTAGCTTTTACTACTTTATGTTAACTTTCACCCAAACATGTAAACTTTCCTCTTAGTTTGTTAACGCTCGCACTGTTAACTTACACATGAAGCTGTTAATTTAAAATATCAGAAGATAATATTATAGTTGACTTTAAAATCTTACTGGTTTATTAATTCAGAGAGGATCCCAAAAAATTACTCGTCTGGTGAGAATGTAATGAAATGAGATGTTTTCTACAATACTTCCATCATTCCTCAATGGTGGCACACAATATTAACTGAATGGGGTCAACCATTTCAAAATATAAATGAATTGAGACTAGCTTTGTAATACTAACCTATGATGAAAAAAATTTAATTATGGATTTGCAAAGAATTGACCCAAAGGTATCCGAGTTTATTGTCAATATAAGAAAATATATGAACGCCCTTGGATGTTGTTTGCCTCTCCTGTTAAAAATAAAAAAGATTTGAAATTAAGAAGTTTATGAGTGAACACAGTTGTGGACAACATAATAACTTGTCAGGACGATCACGGGCATCTCGCAAATTCATAGCAGCCCAAATGCATCATGCATTGAAGGTTTTCCTCATCACCAGACTCTTATGTTGTTAATATCACATATAATTAACAAGTAATGTGCAAAGTTAACAGATTTTTGTGAAAGTTAACAGGTAAGCCCAAAAACTAACCGTGTAAGCTAAAAGTTAATGCAACACAAATGGACAACTTCAGTTAAACAAGTGCATTATGATTAGACTTACAATCTTAGAGATTACAAAAATCTTCTACAATGTGTTACAAAAGTCTTGACAACTTATATTGTTCTACCAAAAGTATTATACTGATAAGCAATCCACATTAATCACCAATTGGTTCGTTACAATTATAGGCGTCAAGAATTACCCATGGATTCCCGCATGCGGCTTGAGACAGAGAGAAGACGATGAACATCACTATCCGGGTCACAAAAGCTTAATTGATGTCGATAAACGCATGAAGTAAGTCGACGAACCATGTGAAACAACGAAACTGTAGAATAACGAAGATACGAACTGATCGGGAGCAACACTTCGCTTACGAAAGACGAAGTGCCCCTCATGTCCTATTTACTCCACATGTGATTCAACCATGGGAGCTTGTAGATCTTCTTGTCGGCTTTCCTTTGCACTTTAAATCGGGCAATTTTGAGTTTGGACGACAAAGATATGACGGAAACGGATGGGACGCGCAAAATGGTGCACAAGCCTTGATAGAGACACTGCAAGTGTCTCGTCCTTAGCCTTGATAGAGACACTACAAGAGTATCAGCCACGGCTGAGACACTACAAGAGTATCAGCCAAAAATGTCGTTTTAAGCTATTTTTGTGGTTTTCGAAGCTATTTTCACCCGGGTTTGTTTCAACTGATCTAAATATCATCCAAGAACGTGATAAAGTGGTTATAAATGAGAATAAGCGTGAATCAGCCGTTCTTATCCGAAAAACAGAGCTCCCGAAGCCTATAAATATAACCCTAGGACCTTCATTTGCACAGATCTGGAATTCTCGAGCCTGGGCGAAGCCCTGCTGAATTGGAGACTGAGGGAGCCACGAATTTCAGAGAGGATGAGGAGATCAAATCGAGTTCTTGGGTATAAAGAAGAAGAGTTCGTCAGATCTACAGTTCCTGGTTCCTTCCCTTGAGATCGTACCAAGCTGCGATCTCGAGAAGAGTGGTTATCTCGCTGTTGCTGAGATAATCGCTTCGGTTTCTTGATTGCTTCGCGAATCAACGAAGCTCCGAATTGGTCTGATCATTTGGTAGTCCATGGATATCAACATCACCGTTACAGGCAAAGATCCTACAAAAAAGCAATAGGTGATAAACACATGTTGTGTATTGTTTGAAAGAGAGTTGTACTTTACTTTTCATTGTATCGAAAGTCTTATAAAAAGACTATTTTTTCTGAATTTATTATAACGCCCAAAGTTGTAATGAATTCTGCAATAAAAATAATTTTCTCCCCAAACAAGCTGATGATCACAGTGGGAGCTAACAGCCTCATCGCCAAGGTTGTCGTGCCGCAACCGAAGATCAAGATCCCGATTGATTCAGAGGTCGAGTACGAGTTTGACGAAGCTATGTTTGAGGAATATTTCTTCTCGTCTTCATCAAAATCCTACTCTCCGTGCAAGTGCAGAAAGATCCCATCTTTGAAGGAGGTGTATTTTTCGATGAAGGCTTCAAATGACTCTGCTCGCCATAACTCCTCCTCGGTCAAGGAGTTGTTCAATCAAGATACGCCAACTCTGACGAAGAGGGCTCGTTAAAGGTGACGCCAATGCCAAGCTCGTTAAATTGTCAAGGTATAAAATAAGTAGATGGAGTTCTCTACTATGCAGACTTGGAATCTAGGAAGCGTCATTTAATCCAGTCGCCTCAACGGCAATCTACTGTTACTTCCTCCAAACCATCGACGGGAGAATGGGTTCTTATCAAAAGAACTCATTCAACCTTGAAGAAGCTCATCTAAAAGCGACGCACACGTGCCACACGTGGGCGTGCCTTTGTGCGAAAAGCTCAAGGCATGCAGAAGGAAGAGATGGCCAAAAAACCACTGAAATCCAAACAAGTCTGGGTGCCGAAGGACGAAACAGTGTCGAAATCAACTCTAAACGCCTCTGATCCCGCTCCTCTTGCTCCCACACCTCTGGCGAAGCCTACGGCGGTGTGGATCTATCCAAATTTAAGATTCTGATGAAGGATCGTCTGGATCCTCTACACAAAAATTAAGACAAAGCTCCGGTGAATAAAACCCGAGTAATTCCTTAGGCTGAGGGTCGTACAAACACTCCTGTCAAGCCAAAGGCCACTCAAAGGTGTCCTGCCGCCTCTAAACAAACTAGGGCACCTCGTTGTACATGTTCATGCACCGTGCACAAGAAGACTTATAACATCGATCGCCTGGGGGTTCGTATCAAAGCCCAGGAGCTTGTTAAGACCTCAC